CAGCAGCAGCAACAACAACAGTACCACATCCGGCAACAGCAGCAGATTCTGCGGGTAAGGCACTGGGATTTCATCTATGACCTGGGAACCCAAAGAAGACCAGCGGCCCGCTTCCTTCCCAGATTATTATCAAGACTAAATGAGGCAGTATGCATGAAGTACCCAGCAGATTGTCTGGCATAGAACCACAACCAAATCTTTTGTTGTTGAGATGATTCCGACTCATAGTGACCCTGTACGACAGACCACTGTTCTCTAGGATTTCTGAGGCTGTAACTCTTTATGGAAGTAGACTGCCTCATCTTTCGCCCATGGAGCAACTGGTGAATTCAAACCGTCGACCTTTCGGCTAACAGCCCAGTGCTTAACACAGTATGGCACCAGAGCTCCTTGTCTGCCATGTAGTGGGTACTTACTAACTTAGTTCCCTGCTCTACCTCTTCTCTCCCCTTTTGTTTTTGAGGGATCATTAAGATTCCATTATGAGTGGGGGCAGGGAGGTTTCCTATTGGGTATGTCTAGCTATACAGCTGTCTGAGAAAGGAAGACAGTCAACCCAGGATTCCTTTCCTGCTTCATCCCCTTTCCTCAGCTCCCCAACACTGTGTCTCAGCTCTCTTGCTGTGCTTCAGAAGTAATCTCTTCAATTCTTATAGCAGCAGCAGCAGCAGCAGCAACAGCAGCAGCAGCAGCAGCCGCCACCACAGCAGCCGCCACAGCAGCAGCAGCCACAGCAGCAGCAGCCACAGCAACACCAGCAACAGCAGCAGACAGCCCCTCCCCAGCCCCAGCCCCAGCCCCAGTCCCAGCCCCAGGTAGCTGCTGGACGACAGCCCCAGGCTCAGGGACAGCTGCCCAGGTTGGGCATGCAGCAATAAACTGGGTTGGGGACAAGGTGAAATTGTATCAAGGTGGGAGGCAAGGCTTGCAACTCTGAAAAGGGGTTGGGAGCCAGAAGACATGGAGAATTAAGAGCGGAAGGTTCGAGCTCAATGTTCCACTTCCTGTTTCCACCTCAGTTCCAGCGCCAGGGCCTTCAGCAGACCCAGCAGCAGCAACAGACAGCAGCGTTGGTCAGGCAACTCCAACAACAGCTCTCCAGTAAGCCTGTCTTCTTTCCCAAGGAGAGCCCTGTGGGATAAATAGGAGAAGGGGTGGGGCAAAAGTGCTGAGATGATTGCTTCAGGCCCAAATTGTGGGGGGAAGCATTACATTCCCTTCCCTTGGTGCCTAACTAGTTTTCCTCATGCATATCCATACCTTGCTTGGTCTCCCACCCCTGATAATCTCTGGTTTTTCACAGATACCCAGCCACAGCCCAATACCAACATATTTGGACGCTTCTGAGCCACCTGGAGGAACTGCTTGTGCACGGGATGTGGCCCTACCCTTTCCGCTTAATTCCCAGTCTTTTTTTCCTCTTAATTCCCAGTCCCCTTCCCAGGCTAGCACCCGTGGTGGTTGGGACCCTTCCCTCAGGTTCCATTTTTAATAAGTTTTAGTATTTTTGTTAATGTGAGGCATTGAGCTGTTGGGTTTTGTATATTATTTATATAGAGACCCCAGAGCTGTTGCACCCAATACACAGAGCTGCTTTGCAAAGGAAGTGTGTGAGTCCTGCATGTCTGGGAAGGGTGGGGTTTGGGGAGAGTGTTGGGGGCTAGACCAACAAGTCAGAGCCTCCCTTCTATTCAGATCATCTCTGTTTATCTACCTCCACCGTAGTTTCCTAACTCTTAATTAGATTGATATTCGCTCTCCTCTTCTCCAACCTGGCAACATATAGGCCCTTGGGTGTCAGCTAAATGTGGCCACTTCTTTACAGTTTTACTCCATGGGGGAATATTCCACTGAAGTTGGGGAGGGGGGCCACGGGGCCTGAAGAAGAACAATGGAATTTGATTTTCCTTCAACACAACCCAAGTGCTGGTCCTTGAACAGGCTAAAAGGGGATGGTGACGGACACTGCCTTACCCTTTTTGCCGTCCTGTATGGTCCCCATCCTACACCAAGCTACATTTTTTTCATAGGACAGTGAACGTCCCTGAGAGTCCCATTTCTAGGAGGAAACATGGCTCTCCATTGGCAAGTGTCATTATGGAATAGGTGCCGGGAGGGGGGTTATGGTTCTAGGAGGAAGAAAGACCAGTTAAAATTGGAAGTACCCTTTTCCCTCTCTGCCCTGTTGGCTGGAGCTGCTTGGTACACATGACCCACTTGGGCAGTTACCCAAGGATAAGGATTGCTTACCCCCCATTTTCCAGTAAGGAAAATTCAAAACAATTTCTCCAAAGTTGTATTTGGAGCTGTGGTAGAGCCATTCTCAGTCTCCTGTGTCTTGAGGTTTTGAGTCCTAGACCCAAGGCTATGCAGTATCCAACTGGTTTACTGTAAGGGGATCTTCTGACAGCTATGTGGGCAGGTAGGTGGTACAGGATTATTTAACAAATTAAGGATAATGTCTGAACCTAGTTGAGCACTCTATCATTGGCAAGGGTGCTGCTCAAACCAAGACCACCAGTTAGTACCCAAGTTATAAAGAATACAAAATAAAATCGATCTCTCTTGAGCTTCTCCAAGCCCTCCTATGAGGCTTACCAAGTTTAACAGTTGTATGTGCAAGGAATAGAACTCCGTGACGCAAACATTACTAAAGCTTTCTTGTGACTTGTTTTGTCCTGACTTATACTGTCTGAAAACTACAGGGGTCAAGCCTTATGCAGGATAAGAGCCATTTAGAGGGACTTGGGGAGGGAGGCGATGCTAGCCAATCTGGACAGGTGAACTATATACAGAAACACAAGACCAGGCCAGCCACATCTGGAGGAGAGGCTCAGATGGTGAGACAAGTGGCATGCTGACAGCTAAGGTCTGACATGCCCCTTCAGAAGCAGCAGTAAAGGAACAGCACTGGCTTTGGGAAGGGTGACAAGATGAGGGCAAAGGGGCCCCACTGGTTGCCCCTTGGTTATTGGTACCTTGCAGAAAAGAAAGGTGTTGGGGGGGGGGCGCCTTCTGCAGGCAGTGCCTGTTTTTCCCTTCCTTCCAAGGTTTTAACACTTTGCAGGTAAAGTTTAAACTGGCACCTTGGAAGATCACCCGACCAATAGCCAGCTATTTGAGGTGTGAGAGAGCGTGCTAGAGCTTAAGCAAGTGGAGTGTATTTGAACGTGGTGGCGGTGGGGGGTGGGAGGGTGTGGAGCCATGCCCCAGGACTTGTGAACCATCTCTGGCACAAAAGGAGTTAATGGCAGGGACCGCGCCCCCCCGTGTCCGGGCACGCGCAGCGCGCCCCCTCGGCGCACGGGCACAGCAGCCAGGCTGCCGGAGAGCAGTTCTCCGGATTCGGGTGCGGATCCCTTGGCCTGGAGGCGATATGGGTGGTCCACAGCTGGGTTCAGTCTCGAAACAGCAGCAGCCCGGGGAACAGGTGAGGCCGCCTGCCCCGGTCTCTCATCCTCTAGCTGCTCATACCTTGCCCCCATCCTCTCTCCTCAATCCCGGACTCCTCCGCTCCCCAGCCAGTGCCCTCTATCCCTCCCAGCCGAGTATTCTTCATAGCCACTTTTGACCCCCCTACCCCCACGTTTACCCCCATTCTCTTCCTCTCCTCCTCCTTCCTAAATCCCTTATCCTTATCATCCTCCCGCCTTTGATCCCTCTATTTCCACAATCAGGCTCGCATGCTCATCAAAATACCCCTACTGAGTGCCCCCAGCCCTATTCCTGAACCTATCCGCACATTGCCAGTGCCCCTCCCCCACAGTGCAGCCCATTCCCCTTCCATCATAGCATCTCACAGCCAAGCTCCCTCCCCCTCTTTCTGCAGCGCACCCCCCCCCCCGCCTTTCTCCTGTTCTCCCCATTCCAGTGCAGCTCCATCCCCCAGTACCATTGCCAGCCCACGTAGTCCCCAATACTGCAGTTCTCAATACCCATTCCATTCCTGCACAATGACCCTCGCCCAATACCACTCCGGTCCCCACAGTGCCCCCGAATGCCATTCTCATCCTCAGCACTGCCACCTCCCCTTGTCTTCCCCCAATTGTGAGCTGGACCAGAATGGAGGTCCAACAGTGGGTCCTAGGGTACAGAGGGCGTTTGGGGGTCGGTCTGTTTGTCTAGGTGTTTACAAGGGAGGGGCTGCAGAGAATTGACTCAAAAGAGAACGGCATTTGACACCAAAGGGTTACTGGAGAGGGTGACATCCTGAAAGGGTTAATTGAATGCGTGGGGTAAGGGTGGTACTGAGGGGGTTAAAGGGAGGGGGGTAGTTGGCGGTGAATCTGTGTGAATGAGCGGTCTGTGCCCCTGAGTTGCCATGGAGACGGTGAATGGGGGGATTGTGTGAACTCAGCTGCGGACTATCCCCCCCCACCCCTACACACACACACACACACACACACACACACTCACTCCCTCTTGCCCCACCTCCATACTCCTACCCCTTTCTTCCTCCACCCCCACCCCCACCCCCGCCGGGTGCATTCTGGGCAGTGTCTGGGATCTTTTCCCCCACACTTTGCTCCTCATTTCCTAGGAGCCTCCACCCCTTTAGTCACTTTGCCCACCTCCTTCCCGCCTCCCCTCCCTCCCTCTCGCTCTCACACACTCATGTGCGCGCGCACACACGCGCGCGCGCGTGCACACACATTCTCATTTCCCTCTCCAGTGGCAGCGGATTGTTGGGCATTCTCAATCTCCCTCCCCCACCCCTTCAGCCAGTTCTTAAAGGAGCAAGCCGGCAATCTTGGATGGCGGGAGAAATGGAGGAAAACTAAATATTCTCGTGTGTGTGTGTGTGTGTGTGTGTGTGTGTGTGTGTGTCGCGCATACGCCCACACAATTCTGTCCATGTGGAAGCCTGTGTGTGTGCCTGTGTATATGTGTTACATGTGCAGTACTGTGTGTGTGGGTCCTTTACTGTTTCTGTTTCCACCTATGTGTCGCCATGATGTTGTGTGTGTCTTGCATATTTACCTATGCAGTGTATGTGACTATATTTCAGTAAGTCTCTGTGTCTCTCTGAATGTATGTGAGTCACTGGCTCTGTGAGGCTGTCTCCAAATGTGGGACTATCGTGAAGATCCCTATGGGTTGCGAATGTATGTCTCTGCAAGTGAGTATCACGGTGTGATTCTGGCTTAGTCTCTCACTTGCTCTTTGGGTCTTTGTGAGTTTATTTCTGTGAGCCTCTGAGTCTGTGTCTCCCACATGCCTTGGTTTATTTGACACTGACTGAACGTCAGTCAACAATGCTTAAGGGTGCTGGGCAAAAGGACTTCTGCCTCAGTCCTGACACTGTAGATTCGAGATAGCCAACAGAAAAGACTAAAGTTTCAGGATTTGGGAGCTATGAGGACCGAGGGGAGCTATGAGGAAGGGAATGAGAGGGTCTCAGGACCCTGACAAATGGCTGGCTGCCCTGTTCTGCCTCGGGGTGAGGAGCCTCTCTATGGGATCCTTCGCCTAGCTGCTACTTTACATTGCTGTGCCTCGCTGTCCCAGAATGAGTTTAAGGATCTTAACCATGCCTGATGTGGAGGTCCCTGTGTGGCTTTTCCAGGTCCCAGGGGCTAGGTAGCTCGTGTTCACACAGCATGCAGAGTGACCTAAGCTCCGTTTCCAGTTCTCGCCACTACATGCAACTCTGAACTCCATTAGCCATGGAGGTTTTGTTAGACAGGCTGGCACAATAAACTATCTCAGAGGTGAAGTTGGGGACTGTGGAGTTATAATGACAAAATCTGGACACTGACAATTCCCTTGGATTTTTCCAACCATGGCCAGGAACATAGAATGGTTCTGACTGGCAGTGGAGATCAGCTCTGGGTCCCTGGAAGATTGGGTATATGAAACCTCTCCTAACTCTAAAGGAATAGCCCAAGCCTAGTAGGGCCCAAAGATCTCCGCTGTAGCCCTCCCAGACCCTCCTGGATGACTCATACTTCCCTCTTTCCACAGGCCTGTCTGGCCCTGAGGAAGTTCCCTTTCTGAAGCTGTGGTGCTTGGACGACCTGCTCTCTCCGTGGCTGGGCACCTGTAGGTGTCCCTTGAGAGCTCAGTTTTGAGGTTCAAGTCAGTGTGGCCATGAAGGGGCTGTCTGTTGGGCTGGTGCTGTGACCCTGGAGTCGGCCTCTCCTGCCAGTCCCTCTGCCCAGAACATGTGGCTGCAGCTTGGCTCGCCCTTGCTGTCCCTGAGCCCCAAGCCCACTGTTGGCCGGAGCCTGTGTCTCATCCTGTGGTTCCTCAGCTTGGTGCTGAGGGTCAGTGCCCAGGCCCCAGCACCCACAGTCAATACTCACTTTGGGAAGCTAAGGGGTGCCCGGGTACCATTACCAAGTGAGATCCTTGGGCCTGTGGACCAGTACCTTGGGGTGCCCTACGCAGCTCCCCCAATCGGCGAGAAACGTTTTCTGCCCCCTGAGCCACCCCCATCCTGGTCGGGCATCCGGAACGCCACACACTTTCCCCCAGTGTGCCCCCAGAACATCCACACAGCTGTGCCCGAAGTCATGCTGCCCGTCTGGTTCACTGCCAACTTGGATATCGTTGCGACTTACATCCAGGAGCCCAATGAAGACTGCCTCTACTTGAACGTCTATGTGCCCACGGAGGATGGTGAGTGCTACCACCAGGCACTGTGACCTCCCTGCCTCCCGCCTGCCCTTTGTGTTTGTGGCTTGCATGTGGTTGTGTGCCCTGCAGCATGCATCCGTCTGTGAACAATGCTTATAACCATCACTCTGCTTGGCCTTCCGAACTCCCCTCCCTGTTCTTCCCTCTCCCGGCATTGTCCGAGCTCCCATGTGTAAGTGACACTGTTACCAAGAAAGGCCTGGCCAGGCCCAAGAGCTTTCACAGGTCTAGATCCAGAGTTCTGGATTGGGAGGGTCGGGGCTCCCTGGGGGAGTATGGGTCACTGCTGGCAGCTGCCTGCGGGAGGATGTTGGCTCCACCAGGGCCCCCTGTTGTCATTCCACCTGCTTTGAAAGGTGGTAGGTGTGTGTGGCCAAGGGAGCTGAGGCTGGGGGGGTGGGGGGTGGCAGGGGAGGGGCAGGAAAAAAGCCTGGCGGGCAATACTTAGGTGCCTCCTCTTTCACTAGCTAAAGCCTCCTCCCATGGGGCTTCTACTAAGGTAAGTGATAGAAACAAGGAGATGGTGGGACAGGCTCTCTGCCATGTGCCCAACCTGTAGAGCAGCTCTTGGGGTCTGGGTGTGGGGGAATGCATGACCCTGGGCAAAGGCCTCCTGTTATTTTTTAGTTTTTTATTCATTTTACAGTAAAGCGGATTTCCAAGGAATGCGCCAGAAAGCCCAACAAGAAAATATGTAGGAAAGGAGGTAGGTAGCGAGCCGGCGGGGAGGGAGAGAGAGAGAGAGGGAGGACTGCTTGCCCACCTGCCCCTACCCAGCCTTCCTTCAGGTAGCCCAGGCTCAGGTGGGGGGCGGTAAGCAGGCACAAGCTCCACCTTGTCCTAGGCCTCTGGCTGCTTTCCAGGGAGGATTTGGTGACCAAAGGCAGGTTCAGGACAGAGGCAGCAACCCAATGCCTTCCAATCTTCCCAGTCCTAAATGTCACCCTAACACATTTGCCAAAGACAGAGCTAGTGACTTCTTCAGTGACACCTCAGGAGAAACCCCAGGCAGCCAAGATAGAGCCAGCGGCTTCTCCTATTCTAGGTGGGTCAAGCCATAAGATCATCCCTCCCATAGCACTCTCCCAGGGTTGGAAGTCTGAACTCAACTCTCCTATCCTGAAGCTTAGACCAACAGGTTAGTTCCTACTGCTGCTCCCACCATCTCTGTGACCAGAGCTTAGCTCAAAGACCCAGGCTACTTTGGTGGCAGGACATGGTTCTGGAAACTACGGACTCTAACAGACGCGAGAGATGCTGAATTCTAATGGTACCCTCTTGCTGTGAGGAATTTGTTACCCTGGATAATGTTTCTTGATGTTTGAATATTTTGTTTCCTCCAAAGTTCTTTCATCCTCATAAAATCTTCCCCACATCTCTGGAAGCACATAAGGCAAAACTCAATGTCCCAATTTGGCAGACAGGGAAATGGACATAGGGGAGTGACTTGCTATTACTCTAGGCCACATCGCTCGCTGTGCTGTGGCAGAGCTGGGAACAGAACCTTGGTCTCTTGATCTTCCAGGCAGTATTCTTTCCACTGTAGCACACGGGAGACAACTCCCGTCTGACCAATTCCACCTCCCCAACACAGAAAACAAAAACGATGGAATGTCGGTGTGTTGGGCAGAACTGCAGTCCCGGGCCCCATGACAGGAAAAAGCCATTGCCTGCTCCCTACAGCCCTTCGGAAGGCATGAAGTTCGTTTTCCTTTCAAATCTTAGGACCTGGTTTCTTTAGAGTGGGGTCAGCGGGGACAGGGTGGGATGTTCCCCAGACCTACTGAAAAAGAGTTTCTGGGGGCACAGCCTGGGAGTCCACACGTTGAGCAGGCATCCTCAGTGATTTTGAGTGAGACCCAGGGGCAGGGTTTCACCACATCCTTATACCCAGCCCAGGACCTCACACTTAGTAGGCCCTCAGTAAATCATGTTTGTGCAAAGAAACATTGTGGTGCTGCAGAAAGAGTATACGTCCGGGAACTGCCCAGCTCAACTGAGTCCCAGCTCTGCTGCTAACTCACAGTGAGACCTTAGGCAAGTCCTTTCCTTTAAGAACCTCTGTTTGCACATCTAAAGTTGCCAGGGAGCTATCCTGGCCTTAGCCATACCTTCAACTTCAAGAAGAGGGTCTCTAAAACCTGCTCCAGTTGAGTTACTTGGAGGTGGGGGAGAGGGAAAAGATGAAATTATTAGTCTGAAGCAGAATGATCTCAGGGTTCTGGTAAGCTTTAGGGCAGTATAGTTCAGCCCTGAGAATTTGACTAGTGAGCCTCCAAGAAACCAGACCAACACCACCACCGAGTCAATCCTGACTCATTGTGACCCTGGAGGACAGAGTAGAAAAATCCCTTTGGGCTTCAGAGACTTTTACGTTTGTACCAGAGTAGACAGCCCCATCTTTTTGCCTATGGAGCGACTTCGTCGGCTTGAATGGAGGACCTTGCTGTCAGCAAGTCAATGCATAGCCCACTTAAGCCGCCAGTGTTTCTTTCTAGAGTGCCTCCAGAGGCTGTAACTATTTACAGAAGTAGAGAGCCTCAACGTTCTCCCTCGGTGTAGCTGGTGGAGTCACAACTGCTGACCACAAGGTTAGCAGCCCAACCTATAATCCACTCACTACACCACCAGGGCTCTTGTTGTAGAGAGCCTAGCAGACTACAAATCCCCATTCACATACAAACATTCACCAATCATGATCTTTGACTAGATCTTGTGCTAGGCACCTTTGGAATGTGGATGGAGGCGGGGAGTGGGGAGAGATAGGGGAAAGATGTAGAAATTACTAAAGGCCTCCTCATTATTCTGAAAAAGCTCTTGTTAGGTGCCATCGGGTCAATGTTGACTCGGGAACTCCACATAACACAATACACCTGCCTCAGAGGGTTTCATGGGCTTTCATTTTGGGAGCGGATCTCCCGGTTTTTCTCAGGTGGAGTCGCTGGGTAGTGCCAAACTGTCAACCTTTCGGTCAGCAGCTGAGCATGTTGGACCAACAGGGCTCCTAGCCTAGTGTTAACATGCTTTCCCTATGCCCCAGAGGCTAGCCGGAGAATGGATTCTAGACAGTGTGGGGCAGGGCATTTGGTCATCCAGCAGGTTCAATTTAGTTCCCGATCCAGAGTTTGTGGGCCATTTGGAACAGAGGTACCAATCTTGCCTCCGGCGGGCGCAGGGGGTGGGCCACACCCAGAGACTGTCTACAACATAGAGGTTAGGGTTGTGGTATGCATAGATCAGGTGGGGCTGCTCCAGCTCAGCATCTGAGAGTGTCAGCTGAGTTGGATGGGGATGAGAGGCACTACAGTAAAGAGCTGTTTAGCAAAGGCATCCTTTGTGGAAGAGCCTGTAATACGGCAGCAACCCAGAGACAGTCCCAGAAGGGAACAAAGGGGCTACATCCTTGACATTTGAGCTGATGGGAAGTGAAGGATCTCGTGGGGATGGCCTGCCTCACCCCCACCCTACCCCCATCAGATCGGAAGGAAGGCATGTTTGGGGTGGGGCCGTTTCTTTCTGTTTGAGGGCTGCCCACTGTGTGGGTGATGAGGTCCCATGTTCCCACAGGGCTTCTGAGGACAATATTGGTAGATGAACAGACAGTAAGCACCACTCAAAAGCCAGAGCTTTTTCTACCCCTAGGGCTAGGCTCTGGCCCTAGCTGAAAAACCACTGAGTAATTAATATGAGGTGGATTCCTGTTTGGATTAATAGCTGTAAGGAAATTCCATCACCCGAATGCAGCTCAGCAACTTCCAGGCTGAGGGAGGGTGACTAGTGTCCGACCCCAGAGGGTAAGCCCTGTGCCGCCAGTATCATTACTTGTTTCTGCATACTGACTAGCATCCAGAAAATAGCTCCTTTTTCCACAGCCGGTCTCAGCTCCAAGATGCATTTGCAATCTCCTTATAACAGGGAGGAGAATGGGTGCGAGCTTGCCCCTAAGTCCTCAATGTCTTCTCTCCTCTAGTCTCTTATTTCCTCTCTTCCCTCCCCTTCATGCTCCACCTTTTGTCCCATCTTCTTCTTCCCTTCGCATTTTCCTTTGCCACCAGGTGGCATGGTGCAGTGGAAAGACCATGAGCTTTGGAGTCACATAGACCTGGGTTTAAATCCCACCTCTGGCACTTCCTAGCTGTGCAAGTTTGAGCAAGTCACTTTACTTCTCTGAACCTCCGTTTCCCCACCAGTGAAACAGGAATAACAAGAGTACCTACCTCATTGAGCTGTAAAAATCAAACAATCCATATTAAAGCGAACATCTGGCACATGGCAAATAATCAGTACATGGTAGGAACTATTACCATTATTCCTATCTCTTTGTTTTTCTCTCTTGTTGTCCCCTTTTCCTTTTCTCCTTTCTTCTTTCCCTCCATCCCTCCATGGTTCTCTCTAATTTTTAGAGCAATGCTAGCTGCCCTCAGACCTGATTCCTGTGGGCAGGAATCTCATTTGCCGTTAAACAGAACAGAAGGCCTCCGTGAGATGGACCAAAGGGAAAGCTGCATCTCCCATCTTCGTCTGTGGGAATCAGGGTCAGCTGAGGCCCAACTGGAGCTTGCTCACTGGGCCTGGGTAGTGAGCTCAGGACTGAGGTCCCTGCACATACTAGCAGGGACTTGACTGGTGGCAATGCCACCTCTCACTCTCAGTACCACCCCTGCTCTCCATATCAACTCTCTGTCTCTCTCTCTCTCTCTTTCTCTCCTACCCAGAATAAATCCTTTCCCTGAGTGAGTCTGTGGCACTGTAGCCTGGACTACCTCCTCCTACCTCCTTCCTAACTGGGAAGGTTTGGGGGATGCCAAGGTAGTTGGTTGAGATAGGCCATTGGGGACATGAAGGTGGGGCAGGGAGGTGCAAGGAGGCCAGCACAGCAGGGGCCTGCAACACCATCATCCTGATGAAGGTCTGGGCCTCAGCCCACCCATTCCCTCAGTTCTTGCCATCCCTCCTGCCTGTCCTGGGCCCAGGCCCAGAACTGGCTTGCTGGGCCACACTGCAGTCATGCTGTTTTTGAATTCTCTCTCTGTTTTGTTCTCTGTTCTGTGCTGTTGTGTCTCCCTGTGTCTGGTTCCCCAGGATCCGGCGCTAAGAAACAGGGCGAGGACTTAGCGGATAATGACGGGGATGAAGATGAAGGTATTTGGGGGCTGCAGGGCGTGGCGGCTGGTGCATGGCACAGAGCCCCTCCCCCTCTTGATGGGGAGAAGCCCCATCTGTCTGTCTGTCCGTCCGTTGGTGTGTTTCTGTTCCTGCACAAGGCTGTTGGCCTGCTCATCCATCTTTGGCCTGGTTGGCCACTGGGCGTTCCAGGGTGATGGACATTACTGACTGGAGCAGGAGACCACCAGCCGAGCTATGGGGCGGGCAACCTACTCACCCTGGTTCCCCACCCCGTCCTCAGTTCTGCAGTTGAAGTGGGCACTGCCGGAGACAGCTTCCTCCTCCATCTTTGATAGCTCATGACACCTATTGAACAGCAGAGATAGAGGGAGAAGACTGAGCTGGGGGAGGACAGGGAAAGGGACAAAGGAAACTAGGTGGGGAGATGCCTATATTTCATCTGTGAGATACCTGGGTTTCAAGGGGAGATCAGCTCCTGGTCCAGCAGGGGCCTAGCAGGATGTTGAATTGCATGAATGAAACAGTGATGGTCAAAGGGGCAGGATGGAATAGGACCAGCCTAGAACCTCCCCAGCCTTCTCCCAGAAAGAGCGAGGTGGTCTCGGAGCCATGGGCTGTGATTGGTTCAGCACTGGCTGTACACTAAATGCCAAACTGAGGCCGGGGCCCCACAGCCCCAGTCAATAGGTGGTGTAAGATTCCTGGTGATCACTGGGTCAGCCCTTCTCCTTGGAAAGCAGGTTCCCTGTGCTTCTCAGCAGAGAGCATTCCCTTCAACCTCCGTGTTCTGCCCTTCCCTTCTGCCCCAGGAAGGGCCAGACAGCTCAGGCGGGCCCACTGGTAACTGATAGGGTTGTGCTAAGGTGGCAGAGGGTCGGTTCCAAGTCACAAAGTGAAGGGTTTCAGACAAAGGTGATCTGGCCTTCTCTTGACTTTCCAGCCCCAATGGTCCCTTGTTAAATGGCCTCTGGAGAGACTCCATCGTCATCTTAATGCTAACTGGGAAGCCTCTCATTCCTAGTTCTGCCTCTATCCACATCCCAGTCCTCGATTTTTCCAGTTAAATCTGCCTAAGGCCCCGGGAGAACAGAGGAAATGGGCACATGGCTGAGCGACTATGTCCATGAGGTTCTTCCCGCCCCACCTCTGCCATTGACTCCCATTTCCCCCACATCCTTCCTTCCATGTTCTCTCCCTGTGCCACTCCTTATGCCCACCCCTCTTGTCTCTGCACCGGGATCCAGCTGCTTCCAATGGCCGTATTTCCATGTAACCGGTCTAGTCTTGGGGGTTTCAGTACTCCCTAGCTGCTGCTCTCTAAAGCCATGTCAGGTCCCAGGACTCCTGGCTGCCCAGGGCAGGGACTCACTCACTTGATCCAAATAAGGAACCCACCCTTCCTTTTCCTGCTGCCCCCTACCCTTAGGGCTTATCTGTGGCCCACCTAAGCCTAGCTGATCAGGCTGCCCGGCTGCCTTCCACTGGGAAGCACTTGAAAGCAAAGTCTTTAAAAACACCCTTGAAGTCCAACTGTCTTTAGCTGATTCTTGAGCTTCAGGCTGAGTAGCCTCATGAGTCCTGCCCTTACAGATGGCAATCGTGTCCTGATACCTGGGATAGCTTTGCTTCCCACACCCTCCCCCGTCCCTGCCCCAGACCCAGGACTGAGAAGGCATCCTACCCAGCCTATGTCTCACCCCTTCTTCTTACAGATATCCGGGACAGTGGCGCTAAGCCTGTCATGGTCTACATTCATGGTGGCTCTTACATGGAAGGGACAGGCAACATGATTGATGGCAGTGTCCTCGCCAGTTATGGCAACGTCATCGTCATCACCCTCAACTATCGAGTTGGGGTGCTAGGTATGGTTCTCTGCCAAGTGCTTTAGAAGGGGAACAGAAGAAGATTGGGGTGTTAAGAACAAGTGGCCTTGGTTTTCTAGCTGGTGCTACTTTGGCCAAAGTGCTGTTATCTAATGGCCTCTACCCAAGTGCTGGTAGTTTCCCCATACTCACAGGGCCTTTTGCGGAATGTTTAGACACCATTGAGGATTCGGTTCAAATTTCACACCTTCTCTTAGGTCCCAAGTCGAGTCTCTGCTTCCCAGTTTTTGCTTGACTAAGTTTTGTAGGGTCCTGATCTCACCCTTACACATTCACTCTCAAATATAGATCCATAAACATACATGCATGCATGCATAGTCCCATACATTCCTCCCTCCAAATCTCTATTCTAAAGTTACATCTACACCCATATATGTAGCATATATCCACATTCACAGTTTCCTCTACCCTCCTATGTATTCCCAGCACAGAGTCACATCCTGTGTATTCCCATGCAGACACACAAACTCCACAAATGCACATCCTACACATGTACACCTTACATAAAAATTCCTTCTACCCACCCACAGACAAATACACACACAAATGCACGTATCCCCTTAAACATTCCCACCTCTACATTCACTCCCCACACTCACATACTGCACACATACGCATATATTTCCTTCACCTTCCCAATACGCACACAAACCCGTTATTGCCATGTGTATAGATACCTGCATGTCCACACCTCCCAACTCCATGCATGCACAAATACTTCTCCCATACCTGAACACACACACCATACCCCACATTCCTGCTTTCACATCAACACATATATCCATAAAGTACATAAACTCCCCACGTGTACACATACCATAAATACACTGCACATATACCCAAACAACACACACACACTTTCCCCATATATACCTCCCACATACATACCCAGTACGTACACTTAGACATTTTTCCCCACAACTATATGTTGTTGTTATTGTTGTTGTTGTTGTTGTTGTAAAGTGCCATTGAGTCAGTTCCAACTCATAGCAGCCAGGTGTAGAGAGAGCAAACTTCTATCTAGTCCTTCACCATCTTCCCAACATCCACATGCACATCTGTGCCTACACAAACTTCTATCCACCCTCAACTTAACTCTTATACACCCCACACTGAAATGTCCACATATACACACATGCATGCACCTGTGCCTTCTCCACACATATAACACCATACATTCCCATTCTGTTACACATATACATTCCTACGCATACACACCCAACCTCATACACCCTGATATGTCCTAACGTACACATACTCTGTTGTTCACATGCTGTCTGTCAGTGGGCTAGGCTGCCCCTGTACCTTGTACCTTCCTTGATATTGAGGTCTTAAAGTAAATGGATATACCTCAGCAGTGAAACCAACTGTGCAGGGCCTTCCTCACTTTGAAGTGCTCACTCAAGCCTTGGAGGACATATGCAGCCCCATCACCTTGTTGGCATCAAGAGGCCAACTTCTTGCCTGGAGGGTTGGTGCGCTCTGGGTTCCAGTGGAAGACTAGGCTGCTTGTTATAGCTATAGGCCTGGGTGTTGAACTAGCAGTTAGGCATGGCTTAGTCCATGGCCCATTGGCTGATAGGACCTTCTTTTAATTTGTTGTTGGGTATCCTGCTCTTCCAGTTCCAATCCCAAAGGCCCTGGTGTTGCATTTCCCTTTGCCCTGTGATTGTATGCTCAGAATGGCAATTTCCCCTTTACTGCACTATAAACCTTTCATATGATGTGGAATGGGAAGGTAACTGTTTTTGGTTTAGACTGGAGAAATTATATTCCCTGAAAAAAGTTGAGCCTGTGTGGTACCTGGCACACCAAATATAGAGCTCACTGGCCATCTGTCTAGTCTCTCCACAGCCTCGTAGACTTTGGATTTCATGGTTCTGCTGTTGCTCCTCTGTCTTTTCCCATCGTTTCAGACATCACATCATGGCAAGGCTCTCATAAGTTAGACTGTCCTGTTGAGTATTTGATGGTAAAGGAGGGGCCATGACGGTGTTTGCAGCCTGTACACTTGGACCACACAGCTGCCTAAAGAGTAATCGATACACAAACATAATCACACACAGATGTATAGACATACATATGCAGTAGTTGGAAACCAAAAGTAGTCTCGCTACTTGATTATCTTAGTGAGAGTGACTGAAAATGTTCCACTCAGATGCTTTTTCAACTTATAGGTGCAAAGTTCATTGAAGTTCAAGTACAAAAAAATACAATATATTTCAGTTCCCTGTTATAGGAGCAACCAGGAATGAAGGAGAAGAGATAATTGGAGGAGAGGAGAGGACACGAGAGAGAAGAAAGTAAGGAAGAGAGAAAAGGGAAGGGATGAAGGGAGGCAGCAAGAGCAACACAAGGAAAGGACGCAGAGAAGGGATAAGAGGGAAACTCAGAGGATTTGAAGTGTCAGTTGGGAGCTGTAGGCCACACAGAAAGCTATTGCTGGTGAGCTCGGTTCTGACAGCCTGGGTCACAAAATTCATAACCCTTCAACTGCTCTACTCCTGCTCTATCAGAAGACCTTTGGGAAGCCATGACCCCCTTTGAAATCACAACAAAAGCTCTGGACTCCTCCCCCCCAAAATGTACATACACACACATAAAAACTTATAAAGATAATTTCATGGACTCCCACCCCCTGAAGCTCATTCATAAAACTCAAATTCAAACCCGCCATTTTACAATTATTTTACCCTATGGACACCATTTTACAACCTCCTCTCATTTGGATAACCAGAGCAGCACATGCAATTAATAGTCAAATAGGCTTATGTGATTAATAGTCAAAGCAATATTACCCAAACCATAGAAGGAGTCATACACTGAGATTTGGTCAGAAGTTCCCCTTCCCTTCCTGGGCACCCTTCAGGTCCTGTTCTGGAACACAAACATGATAAATAAACCACTGATTGGATTCTGGGTACTAGATGTAGAACATAGGTGTGTGTCCCTAACACTTGGGGATTTGGCTGTATTCCTGGAGGCTTTGTTGTTCTGTTTGCCAAGCACTCGAGCAAGTGGCCAGTTTTGAACGTTCCTTACTTGAATCACTTTACCCTCCCTTCCCATCAGTTTCTCCAGAGCCCAAACAGACGGTTCACGCTAAGGTGCTTCCGTAGACATCTAGGGTGATTCACACATGCTGTGTAATTACCATATGCTAATCCAAGGCAGGAGATGTCCCTACTGGGTTTGGAGCCAAGCAAAAAAAGTGGCCCCAGCAGGACATAGGGTGGCGCTGAGGAGTAAGGTCTCACAAATGGGCACTGCAAACAAACTGAAAACCTGGTCAACATCAGGCCTCACGTGATACAAACATCAGATTTTGATACCATCTGCCTGGTGCCCTATCTTTTGTTAACAAACCATTTACCATACATTGCAGTATGATCTTAGGCCCAAGAAGACTGGCTCAGAGTTAGACTGACAATTTATAGCGTTTGCTATGTCACCCATCTCTTGTGGTTTCTGTAGATGGCTGTGTTATGGGGGGACTAGTAGAGAGTGACTGCTCTCTCAGACTTCCAGCGTCTGTGTGCTTGTAGTTGTTTGTGTTGTAGTCTCAAGTGCCCATACCTGTTTGATGTAGTACTTCAAGTCGGATTCTTGTAGTAGGGATGGGTGACATGGTATCATCCACATGCTTCAGTACTCTTTATTCCAAGGTTGATGGGGTTCCAGGCAGATAATCAAATCCGCCACCCAGCCCTTTTAAGCCTTTGTTTCACCCCATAAGTCAGCACAAGCTGGAGAAATTTCCCTTATCCCATCCAAATGCAGGCTGTTCCTGGGTATTAGACAAACTTCACTGAGTGATGCCATGACAAAAGCCAAAGCCACGTCTGCTCTCACTTAAGTGAGAGGAGAGTGCAAGAGAATATGGGGCAAAGAGAGAGTAGGAAAGGGAGGCCAGGTGGGCTAAGAGAGGCACATAGTGCTCTTTGCTCAAGAGTCTCAAGGCTTGGACAGCTAGGTGAGCTCTTGGTCAGCATCACTTTTCTGACTCACAGGAGCAATTTGTGAACGTACCAGGCAAAATGGAAGCTGGTGTTCTTGTCTAGAAGAAACTGGACTTCTCTATGCATCCTCTTTTAAGCCTCTCATTTCCTCATCTGGAACCTGGGCCTAAAGAGGGCTTGTGACGGGATCCTGGGAGGAATAACTAAGTCATTTACACACTTGATTGTACCAAAGGTAAATTAATAACACACTTGAAGAGAGTGAAATGGACTCTTTGGCAGAAGTTAGATGCGGAAAGACTCAAGAACGACAGTGATGAAGTCTTGTCTATTTGAAATCAGTTCTTGCCCGGGGCCTGCCAACAACGTCAAAGCATTGTCTTTGAGCTGCGGGAGCTTCCTCAAACATGGCCTCACATAAAGTTGATGCTCGGTCCTGCGAGCGAGCTTTGAACCGTCAAAAACAATGATCCAGGTGTGCATTTCCAATGTGTAGGTCCACGACAATTACCCGCCTGGAAAGAACCCTTCGCAAAGCTTAGGGCAAGAGATATGGAGCCTTCCAAGAAGTCCAAGGAGAAGGAAAGATGAAATAAGATAGCAGGGTCCGTGGGAAATGGAAATGGGCATGGGGTATAGGACATCTCTGTGGAACAGCCAACAGGTGGGCGGGAAGATAGTCTCCGTGGTAACAAGTCTGCACAGCTGCAGATCCCAGCAGGTGGGTGGGAAGGTAGTCTCCATGGTGACATGTCTCCTCAGCAGCAAATCCCAGTGGGTGGGCAGGAAAACGTGTTTCTGTGGTAACACACTGCACTGACTTCCCCATTTCTCCATCAGACCAAAGAGATGCGCTAATCCAGTGGTTTCCCAACTTTAGCAAGCATCAAAATCACCTGGAAGACTTATAATAAACAGATTGCTGGGCCCCACAGCTAGAATTTCTGGTGCATTTGTTCTGGGAAGAATGGGAGCAAAGACCTGACCGGAGAATCAGGGGAAGGGGCTGATCCAAGGCCCTGTAAAGAGGTTGAGATACACTAATTTGTACAGGCATTGTGAAGAGACTTTAAGGTTTGCTGCCCTTTTTGGGGGCAGAGGGGGCACGTGTTCACTTCCTTGAGAGAAGAAAGGAGAAAGATATGTAAATGGGTCTACAATGTGCTGAGCACATTATACACATGTCCTCGTGTCCATTTTAACCTTGTCACAACCCTATGAGACATTTTTATCTTTTGACAACAGAGAGAGTAGGACCCTGAGATTTTAAATGATTTTCCCAAGCTTCAGAAGTTCAATGGCTACTAAGTGATAGGACCAGGACTCAGTCCCAGAACTATCTGACTACAAGGACCTTGCTCTTTTCAGTCTTACACCAGGAAATGTCCCGGATGGCTCACCAGGACAAAGGATGCTGAGTTCTGGCCGTTAGCAGTTCCTTCCGTTTAAGTGTCCTAAAGGGGGGCATCCGCTTTGATCAGGACATTCCTCTTTCCAAACTGGATAATGGATGTAGGGCAGAGAGCCAATCATTCCTGTATTGATGCTGGGCCTTGTAGGAAAAGGAACAATGGTTAACTGGGTTGCAAGAGGTACACTGCCCATCCGTCTTCTGTCCTGACCTTCCCCCACTTCTACCTCCCATCGTATCCCAAGTCCTTGGTCTCTCTGCCTTCACTATTTTCATGCACTTTGTTGAACCCAGGTTTCCTGAGCACTGGAGATCAAGCTGCCAAAGGCAACTATGGGCTCCTTGACCAAATCCAGGCCCTTCGCTGGGTGAGTGAGAATATTGCCTTCTTTGGTGGAGATCCCCGCCGTATTACTGTCTTCGGCTCTGGCATTGGGGCGTCCTGTGTCAGCCTCCTCACACTATCACATCACTCTGAGGGTGAGTAGCTCGTGGAGCAAAACATGAACTAGACAACGACTGGCCCCCTCTGACCCTCAGACCTTCCAGGCTTCAGAATACCCAGCTCCGTGCCCCAGGGTGACCCCGGGGGAATCAGCCTGCCTCTTCTACCAGCTCAGTGTCCCTCTGGGGGAGAAGTGAAAGGGAAAGATTTCTCTGGGGAAGAAAGCTCCAAAGATGAGAGAGAGATGGAGATAGCCTCATTCCCACCTTGAGCAGATGAGACCCCTTGGGGAGTCTGCTTTGGAAGACTGGGAGTAGCCATACCCTCTCTGAGGGGATGAGAGTTCTTTTGGGGCAGGGGAAATCCTTCCGTTTGGAAAGGACACATTATTTGGGAGTATAGGCCTTGAGTGGAAATTAGTTCCTAGTTGTAAGAAACTGAATCTCTGCTTTTCTCTCTGAAGAACAAGTCTATATAAAAGAAGAGACGTGCTGGCGGGAGGGACAAGATGCACCTGATGTGAGAATCACTAATCAGTGAAGTCGGTTTCTTCTGAGGGACTGTGATCAATTATCAGACTCCAGATCACCTAAAGGTGTACCCCACCTAAGGGAGACTCTCATTTTTAGACTCTCTCCTTGTGGTGGGTCCCCCTGCCAATTTATGCTAAATCAACACCACCACCACCACCACCCTTTTTTTTTTTTTTTTCAAAAAAAGAAATGTTCTCTCCACCTTTGAACGACAGAGAACATTCCATCTCTGAGAAGCAAAGCCGAGCTTCTTACAAAGAAAAGCTCTTCCTGTAAAAGGTACCTGTCTTTGAAATAAGGGAATGTGTGAGCAAGGACAGGGTTTTATTTGTTTGTTTGTCTTTCATTGAAATCGACCCCAGGCATTAGTGATAGTCTCACTGGAAGACTTCAGTCTCTCTTTGAAGAGGACCTATTTCCCTGAGAGAAAACTCATGTGTTCTGACTTAGTAATGTTTGTCTCTGTCCCTCCAAGGAGCCCCCTTGGCAAAGAAGACTAAGGTGGGATTTGCATCTCTGAAAACAGCGAACGTGTTTCTAGGGGACACAGCAGTTGGAGTGGGATCCCCTTTGCTTGCAAAACCAAATCAGCCGAAGTCACTGCTGACTCAGAGCGACCCCACGTGGGCCTCCGAGACGGTCACTGGTTTCGGAAGTAGAAAGCCCAGTCTCTCTCCCAGGGAGTTGCCGGTGATTTCAAACTGCCCACATGCTGTTGTGATCGCAGCCCAATGCATAACCACTACACCACCAGGGCTCCTTGCACTTGGCAAAGGACGGGGAGATGATCGGAATGATGCTGTACTCTGTCTCCAGAGGAGCTAGTAGCACTTGAGGCCTGACTTCTTTAAAGATTTGTTCTCTGGGTTTGTCTGTAATTGACTCATGGAGAATAATCTTTAGAAAAATGGGGCTCTCTCTTTAAGTAGTAATCTATAGTACTCCCCCTCTCTTTCATCCCATGCAAACTTAGAGAAATGAAAGTGTGTGTCTGGAAACTCAGTTCTCTCTTTTAGGAATGTTAGGGCCACTGAAAGAATTATATCCTTTTTTTTTTCTTTGTTGCCAAGAGGGGAAGAATCACCTTCTTTTTGAGCTGGGAGACAGGCTCCCTCTTGGCTAGAGGAAGATGTTGATCTGAGGCACCCTTAGCCTCAGTAAAAAGAATCTCTTCTTGTGGAGACAACAGATTGGAAGGGCACATTCATTTCCTGGAGACTTTCAGACCCCCAAGGTCTTTGCCCTGGGGAATCCTTCACCAAAATCCCAGAATGTGAGGCTCTCTCCTGACTGCATTTCTCATCTCTCATGAAAAAGACTCCTTTGTGGTGTGCGTGGCAGCTCCCTGGTGGTGTGCTGGCACAGAGCTGGACCCAGCTGGGCAGGAAGCAAGAGGGGAAGACAACGAAAGATAAAGAGAGGGAGCATAAGGAAGCTGATCTCTGGGATCCAAAAGGTTAATTCTTCCTGACATTTTCTTAACCCCCAAGCTACCAACCAACTAAAACACGGAAGCAGTGGAAGAACCAGGCAGGGGACCAATCAGGGAAAGGGCATGACAGCCCCTCCTCTTGTCCTAATCCATCATCCCCAATCAAAACAGTTCCTTCTTCTGAGCCCAGTTAACCCAGAGGGCAGCCTCGGTATCAAAGGAATGAGAAGTTTTAGTTGTTCCCCAGGGTTAGGCAAGGGAGGCCGAGGCTGTGGGGGCCACAACACATTTGACCTGGTGCTGCCTGTCTCCTGTAGGGCTTTTCCAGAGGGCCATCATCCAAAGTGGTTCTGCTCTGTCCAGCTGGGCTGTGAACTACCAACCAGTGAAGTACACCAGCCTGCTGGCAGACAAAGTGGGCTGTAACGTGCTAGACACCGTGGATATGGTGGACTGCCTTCGACAAAAAAGTGCCAAGGAGCTGGTAGAGCAGGACATCCAGCCGGCCCGCTACCATGTGGCCTTTGGCCCTGTGATTGATGGTGATGTCATTCCTGATGACCCTGAGATCCTCATGGAACAGGGCGAGTTCCTCAACTATGACATCATGCTAGGTGTCAACCAGGGTGAGGGTCTCAAGTTTGTGGAAGGGGTGGTGGACCCAGAGGATGGTGTCTCTGGCACTGACTTTGACTATTCAGTCTCCAACTTTGTGGACAATCTGTATGGCTATCCTGAGGGTAAGGACACCCTGCGGGAGACCATCAAGTTCATGTACACAGACTGGGCAGACCGCGACAACCCTGAGACCCGCCGTAAGACACTGGTGGCACTCTTCACTGACCATCAGTGGGTGGAGCCCTCAGTAGTGACCGCGGATCTTCATGCCCGTTATGGCTCACCAACCTACTTCTATGCCTTCTACCATCACTGCCAGAGCCTCATGAAGCCTGCTTGGTCAGATGCAGCTCATGGGGATGAAGTACCCTATGTTTTTGGGGTCCCTATGGTAGGCCCCACCGACCTCTTTCCCTGCAACTTCTCCAAGAATGATGTTATGCTCAGTGCTGTGGTCATGACCTACTGGACCAACTTTGCCAAGACTGGGTAAGGAGATACGGGGGTTCTTCTTCTTTGGGACCCCAGAATGCCCTCTACTCCTCTATCTAAACCTATTCCATTATCTCTCTTCCTCAGATCATCCCCAAATCTTGCTTGGTAACCCTTTCACCACCCCCACCCCCACTTCTTACCTTTCCCCACTCCAAGGCTTTCGTGCCATTTTCCTCCCCTCAGAAATTGTGTTGAGGCTCTGAACATGGTTAACTTTGGGACTGAGCAGCAGTGAAGGTTACTGACAGAACTATGATAGTTAAGGTTAGACGATCAGAGACCACATGGAATGGGAGGAAAGTACAGCCAGAAAGAACCTTGAAAGGATCCTTGGGAAAATGGGGTAGCTGAAAAGATTGACAGATGCTCAGTGGCATGGGAGAAGCCAAAGCATGCTTTTGGTGGATGACCATGAGGAAGGACGAGATGGTGTTCATGATCCCATGGGGAATAAGAGGTCAAGCCCTGGGGAAGAAAAAGGTCTGGGCAGAGGGGGAGGGAGGGCCCTTGCAAGAGACAGAAATGATGGAAAGTTTTTGACGGGGTAAGAGGTTTGGGGTGGGTGTTGAGAAACAATGCTGGGTCCTTTTCTTATTCAGGTAGAGTGGTGACCCCAGATTTCCATGTGGTATTTCAGGGATCCTAACAAGCCGGTCCCCCAGGATACCAAGTTCATTCACACCAAGGCCAATCGCTTTGAAGAAGTGGCTTGGTCCAAATACAATCCCCGAGACCAGCTCTACCTTCACATCGGGCTGAAACCAAGGGTTCGCGACCATTACCGGGCCACTAAGGTAGCCTTTTGGAAACACCTGGTGCCCCATCTATACAACCTGCATGACATGTTCCACTATACGTCCACAACCACCAAAGTGCCGCCCCCGGATACCACCCACAGCTCCCACATTACCCGCAGGCCCAATGGCAAGACCTGGAGCACCAAGCGGCCAGCCATCTCACCTGCCTACAGCAACGAGAATGCCCAAGGGTCCTGGAATGGGGACCAGGATGCAGGGCCACTCCTGGTGGAGAACCCTCGTGACTACTCTACTGAATTAAGTGTCACCATTGCTGTGGGTGCCTCCCTGCTGTTCCTTAATGTTCTGGCCTTCGCTGCCCTCTACTACCGTAAGGACAAACGGCGCCAGGAACCCCTTCGACAGCCTAGCCCTCAAAGGGGTGCTGGGGCCCCTGAGTTGGGAGCTGCTCCAGAGGAGGAGCTGGCAGCATTACAGCTGGGCCCCACCCATCATGAGTGTGAGGCAGGTTCCCCCCATGACACACTGCGCCTCACTGCACTGCCCGACTACACCCTGACGCTGCGGCGCTCCCCTGATGACATCCCACTCATGACCCCCAACACCATCACTATGATTCCCAACTCCCTGGTAGGGCTGCAGACGTTGCACCCCTACAACACCTTTGCCGCAGGATTCAACAGTACTGGGCTGCCCCACTCACACTCCACTACCCGAGTATAGCTCCAGCCTGGAGCACCACTCGTCTCTCACCCTCTCCCAAATCCACAAACGCGCACACACACATACACACACACACACACACATACAGACATGTGTACAAGCACGCACCCACACCCTACAGCAAATCCACCTGCACAAACAGATGTGGACATGCACCTGCATGTACAAAAACCTGAGCAAGCCCTTCAAATGAGGACTCAAAATAGTCCTTCGTAAACTGAGGGCTCATGGACCAACAGCTGAGCCCGACCACAGACACCCCTGGAGGCCTGAAAGCAGTGGCTGGACACCCTCTTGGTGCTCGCCTCCAGCCTCTCTCGGAGCTGTACCACCAACCCACGCCAGACTTGGGAGCTTTAAGGAGCGGAGTAGCTCTTCCTCCCCAAGACTTGATCTTTATCTGGGTCTTGTTTGGTTTCGTTTTGTTTTATTTTGGAGCAAATGCTTCTCCAACTCATGAGTGCAAAGAGGCTCTGGAACCCTCAGTGTTCACACAGTCAGACCAAGGAGCAGGACCCTCAAGAAAGAAACGTGTGAGCAAGACCATGGAACGGAAGGAAGGAGGGGCCAACGATGGGGCTGAAGGACCATAGGAGAGAGCTCTCCAACCAGCTCTGCCCCTTTGAAGGGCTGTAGAAATGGCAGGGTGAACTGCTTCCCACAGAGGCCAGCAGGATTGTCCTGGCTAGATCAAGGGACCCTACATTTGGTCAACATCGTTCTGAGGAGGTCCTTGGGCCCCTGGGTTCTGCCTCTGCCTTTGGGGTCATGCTATCAAAAATTCACCCCATTTTCTTTATAGTCGCTTTTGTGTCTGTCATTTCTCTTTCAAAAAGGCAGTATTTTTTGTTGTTGGCTTTTTTTTTATGAAAAGTTCTTAAAACACTAACGGAAACCCATGGAGTTTGTCCTTTGTAAAAATTTTAAACACCGTGTCTTGATATAAAAATAAAAAATCCAGTTAGCACTCCCAACCTGCCTCCCTTGCACAGACATCCATGGAGTGCCACTATGGGCTAGAAATTAGGCACTTTTTCTCTGCCTCTATCTATCTATCTATCTATCTATCTATCTATCTATCTATCTATCTATCTATCTATCTATCTCTGCCTCTCTCAAGCTAATATAACTCTGGGCTTCACTCTACTGGCACCGTGCACAAAAGCCTCCCCGATCTTAAGTTACTGACTCTCTCCCTTCCACCCTGTTACATGCTCTGGGTTCATGCAGCTGAAGCCATCTTCTCAACACTTCAGGTCTCCTTATGAAACAACAAAAATAAGACTGCCTCCTCTGCTGCCACTGCTGCTGCCTCTTCTATCATCACCACTACCCTACCTCGTCCCAGACTGGAGAGTGGGAGGTGGTTTGACCTTTAGCATGCTGAAATTCTTTATTGCATATGAATCAAGTGCAGCATCAGACATGTGGACTTGGGTGACTGACCAAGAAGAGGCACTCTCCTTCCCCAGGGATACTTATTTCCTGTTATATGAATTTATCATTGGGAAAGTATTTGAGGCCCTAGGAGCAATTTCTCTCCAGACTAGTGATCGGTGGCTCCTTGTGTCAACCCTGAGGGATGAATTCAATGGGGCGCCATAAGGTCAGCATTGTAGTATTTCTTATGCTTCTCGGTGACTTGAGGGATTAGAGTAGGAGTCTGTTCATCAAGTGTAACACTTAGGCAGGGTTGCTGAGCCTCAGAAATCAGGAATAGAATTCTTCAACATGACCCCGACAAAATGAGGGCAATGACCCATCACAACCAGAACGATGTTCAGAGGAGACTAACAAAAGATAGTATGTACAAAGCCCAAACACCAGAACTAAATATACCAATTTTGTACATGGGTACAAGAGAAATGTGGAATTATTGACCTCACACAAATACAGTTTTAAAACATTTTTCAAAGGACCGAGGGGAGGGTGTCGGGGCAGGTAACAAGTTGAATGAATATAGAGAGTTCAACTGGTTTTCTTTTGGTCTTCCTCCTGTTCTCTCTTCCCTTCCTTCCTTCCTTTCTCACCGCCCTCCCACCTGTCTTTTCTTTTTTTTTCTTTCCAAAGGAACGTGGATACTGACATACAGTAACAAAAATATGACTTAGAGTAGCTTGGGAATAATCAGAATCTGAGTTTTGTAGAACTATTAGCCCAACCCCTCATTTTATAGTTGGGGATATGGGCCCAGAAAAGCCTGACATCGTAGTGTCAGAAACAGACCTAGAAAGCAATCCAGTGACATACAATCCTCCCCACTGTCCAACTCAACTTTTCCCAGTCTACCTACCATTACCTGGGCCCTGTAAAGTATTAGTGGGTCTACCCTTGATCAACACACTTTCAGAGTGTGTGGAACTACTGCCAAGGGTTTGAAAAAGAGCAAACGCAGTGTGCCAAAGGGCTAGGATATTTTTGTTTTATTTAGAAATAGGAAAGCCAATGAGATAGAATTTAATAATCATGGTACATGTATTATGTAACAAGTATATTGTGACCATCCTCAAAATTTTAGCTCCAACGAAATAATGAACCTGAGGACTTACTCTCCATTTCTTCTGACAATGGTAGAGGTAAAAGGAAATTGTTAGACACATGGGAAAATTGTTATGGGCATGGACACTGAGTAGGTCCTCAACAGTTGCCGAATGGAGTGAATGACCACTAAGGAAGGCCCTGGGTTTCGTCATCTTTCTGAAAGCAAAGCTGGATTCCATGACCTTCTGAGGTCTACCCAGAGGCTTTGGTTTTTTGATCCTTTGTTTACTCCATGTTAGATATTACTAAATGTTGCCTCCGTGTGTGTGTGTGTGTGTGTGTGTGTGTGTGTGCCACCAAATTAAAAGGTTCTCTATTTGGGGGAAATTTAGACACTGCCTGTTCTCTGAGAACTCAAGGTGCTATAGCAAAACCAGCTCCAATATTAATTGGGAGCTCTTGGTAAGAGATTTTCATTGGTCTTCAGAACTTTGGAAAATCTGAATGGAAGAGGGGACCGCCAAGACAAGCAGTGCTGTTCCCAGGTAGCTTGAGTGTTCTCGGCCCTCTTTCTGGCTGCCAGCCCTGAACCCAGCTAAAAAGTTCAACTCCTTCTTTGAAGAGAGGAGGCTGGGGATACACTTGGATTTTATTTCACGTTGCAAAACTCATCAGTGCCTAACCTGGGTTCAGTCTCTATCCCTAGCTTCGGCTGGTTTCTATTATAGTCCTTTGGGGAGGTGGACCCAGCTCTCTTGATATCTGAATTTGTGGTTTGTGCATGAAGGGCCAGAGGTTAATCACTGTAGCCAGAGGTTGGTTGCTATGGAAATATCCACAGGAAGCAAGAATGGTTACCAGGCATGTAGACCTGGCCTTGTACTATATATACTCTGAGGAATAGAAGACACACTCTGGGGAGCCTACAGTTCAGAAGACAAAAATTAACAATGATCAAATGAAATGTATAATCTAGTACGTGACTTCAATTCCATGGTAACGGTTAATAGGGCTGGAAAATTGCGAGAAAGTTTATAGTGGGATTTGTTTGGTTTTTTTAATAGTGGGATTTGTGTGTGAGAGTGGGTGGGTAGAGTGATGGGCATTCCAGGTTGGGAGAAAAGCCTCAGCCAGAGCATGGAGATGAACAGACCTCAGTCATGTGGGAAGAGTGGCGAGGAGACTGACCTGACCCCATGAGAAGGTTCCAATTAAATGGTGGAAAAGGCCAGTGGCCGAGGTTGTCATAATTGCAGAAGAGTTTGGGTGTCATTGGATGAGTGATGACGATACCCTGATAGAACTCTTTGCTAATGATGGCTCTAGAGCGGAAATAAAGCCTCTTCAGCTCCTAGTTGCTTCTTCTCTTTTGCAAGGAGAAGGATTTTCAGAGTAGAAAGGGACAGAGTGGACACCAGAGAGAAGGCAGGCTAGTAGAAGACAGCTCTGAAGACTTCCTCTCATGGTCTGGGTCAATACGTCCCAAGGGACTGAGAGGAGTTGCATCAAAAATTGCAGGACAACTGATGGTGGCTTTGAAAACCTCATGAAGACTGGAAGAGATGTACAAAGGCTGTCTAGAGATGATCCAAATGTAGCCCCACATTGTCACAAATGTGAAAAAAATGAGTCCCACAAATTATAGATAAATACATTTGATACTGATTCAGGGCAAGAGTCTAATGATTAAAAGGAAGGTTGGAGAGCACTTACAAAAGGAAACAAAGATCACTTAACCCCTGCATGGAGTTTGGAAAAACAAATCATAGCCCCACTCAGCTCATTTCCTCTGAGTGAGTGATTAGGCGGATGGATAAGTGCAATAATACACTCATGGTGTAGCTGGAGTTCAACAAAACATTCTCTCATGGTACTCATGTAACAATATGGAAAATTACAGGGTGGATTCTCTGGTGGCTGAATGACTATGCACAAAGTGTTCTATTTTAATATCACTAAATCAAATCTGCAAATTACACAAAGCTGGTAGACAGAGTGAGCCAAAGGGTGAGATGACAGAATCAGAATTCATGCAGATGTCAAGAGGCTAATATAATGGGCTCAGTATAGCAAACTGGAAATACCAAGGACAAATAGAAAGTTCCCTATTTGAATTCCAAAATGTAGCAATATCAGTGTAGGATGTCTCCTGCGATGTGAGATTTGTGGCTTCAAAGGCTTTTAGTGTAAGTGAAAGTATGTCAAGAGTTATGAGCTGAAAGTAGGTTTGGTGACTACAAAAACAATTGTGATTCTGGGCTGCAGTCGCTCACAGAAAACCAAACTCACTGCCATCGAGTTGATTCCGACTCATCCTAACCCTGTAGGACAGGGTAAAACTGCCCCTGTGGGTTTCCCAGACTGTAACTCTTTGTGGGAGGAAAAACCCCGTCTTTCTCCTGTGAAGCAGCTAGTGGTTTCAGACTGCTGACCTTGTGGTTAGCAGCCCAATGCATAACCACTACCCCAGTGGGCTTCCTTGGGCTCCGTTAATAGAATGTAATAACCAGAATTTAAAAGGTGATCGATTTATGCAACACTGCACTAGTCCGACCACACCTATTGCTCTCCATTCAAGTCAGAGGCACCCACACCTCGCAGGAGACATCAATGAAAGCTTATCCAGAGCAATGAGAATCATTAGGGAGCTGAGGAATCCCAGAAGAAATCCGTCTACTATCACCATGACATTGCAGGGATCAAGGGGCAAAGGAAGCTGGAGATTCATTCCATGTAGCTCCAAAGACTCCAAGATCTAATGGGTGGAAGTTGTATGTGTAAGGAAGCAGATTTGGGTGCAACATGACAACGATGCTTTTTTCTTTCTATTTTATACTGAATTAATGAATGAATGACTCCAGCTTCGTGAAGTCCTTCAAGATTTATTACTATTAGCTTCAAAAACAGAGAAGAAGAAAATCCTCATCCCAACATTCTAATATAAACGTTTTGCCGTGTTTCAGGAAGAACTTTCTACTAATTAGTAGTTGTCTCTGAAATGGAAATGAACTGCCCCAAAAGGCAGATTAGTTTTCCGTCACCAGAGAAACTCAAGCAAGGCCTGCATCACCACGCCATATGGGTAATGCAAAGTGGAAGAAAGCATCCGGCGAAGAGGGAGACTTGCCCTGGAAGGACCCAAATGGTCCAGGTATTCAGGAAAAGATTTCTGCAGCCCAGGTTCAGAGTAGGGTAGAGGAGAAAAGACTGGAAGCCAAAATAAGGCCTAATTAAGAAGCACCTACACTGAGGATTCTAACTATTCCACCTCCACCTCTCACTACTTGAATCCCAAAGCAGAGTGTCAGAAGCAGCCCTCATGGTTGCTTGGCTCACCTCCCTATATTCAGACACTGGATTCCCTTCTACAACCTCCTTGCCAAGTAGAGACCTCTTCCTCTCAAAGAAGACCACTGCATCAATGGTCACCTCAAAGAGTGATAAAATTTTTTCCTGAGGTTGAGTCAAAAATCTGTTTTCCCAACTCTTTGCT